ATAAGACGATGTCTTATTAATGTACCCTAATATTATAATATTTGAATAATTGACGTTATAGATTATAAACTAGGAGGACACCCAAAGGTGGGCCATGGTTTGTAATATATGACAATAAAAGAGAAATTATATCAAAGTTAGGTTAATTAGTGTGTTTGTCCAAAGATAACCACAAATTAATCACAATACCTATAATTTCTATTAACGATCTTTCCTCTTAGGCATCAATCAAGTATATTATATATTTAAGTATTTGCCCAAAGGTGTATTTAAATATATAATTTAAAAGAATTCTGAATCCATTAATTTTATCTCAAAGTTTAATTAAATAGCATGTATTAAATTTTGCAGCATTCAAAATTTGGTTATCCGTACAGTATTATAGTTGAAAAATTCAATTGGCTGAACTTCAGTGAATGGTCTAAGCATATCCAATTTCAGTTAGGTTTAATGAATTTGGATATGACTCTAATTATTGATGAAGTTCTCACAACCATTACTGATGAGAGCTCCGGAGTAGATGTAATTCTACGTAGGGTATGTGAGCGATCAAATAGGTTGTGTTTGAATTTTATGAAATTAATCATGGTGGATAACATTAAGGTTAATAATACAAAATAATTCCTAAATAAAAAATTCAAGGAATTATCTCCATTTAAAATTGCGGAAAAGGTTGTTGTGGAAAGTTTCATTAACGAGCTCACCACTATAAAAGTTCGACTGATTCTGTTCCATCCATAATCTCGTGACCCACATGTTCCACATATAAGCTAAACTTACAAACATGAGAATGAATGTGATAGACTCATTTATGGTTTTATTCATCATGAACTCCCTACCTGTAAAGTTTGGCCAATCCTTGGTGAACTATAACACCATTAAAGATAAATGGGATTGTAAGGAAATTAAGGCTATGCTGGTGCAGGAAGAGGCGAGAATAAATGAGATGAAATAAGAGTAGATTCACTTTATATCTCATGTGAGAGCCAATAATAGTAAAATAAAATGGGAAACAAAGGCAAATAAAAGAAGAATGGCTTACATAAAGTTTTTGCAGGTTCAATCATTAAAGAAACGAGGTGTTATTTCTGTAAAAAGTTAGGTCATCTCATGAAAGATTGCCCGAAATAAAATCTTGATTCGAAAAGAAAACATACATTAAATTTTCGTATGTTGTGAATCAAATTTATTAAAGATTCCCAATAATAGGTGGTTTGATTATGTGCAACTACTTATGCATCTCATAATTATTTTTTTGGGTTAAATGTAGTGCACACAATGAATACTATACTCTCTTATGGCATTAAAGATTATGGTCACATATCTGAAAAAAAGTTTTGAGAATGGTGAATAATGAAACCATTTCTCATTTGGATTTTAGTGATCAAGATGTATGTATAGAATAAATTAAAGAAAATCAAACTAGCATACATTAAAGAGATTTGCCATAAGAAGCACTAAAATCTTATAACTTATTCACACTAATTTTTGTGGTCTATTCATCGTCCCTTTGTGGGGTGATGTAAAGTATTTAATCACCATTAAAAATGATTTCTCATGTTATAGTTATATTTATCTACTACATGAAAAGACTCAATCACTGGACTATCTAAAGATATACAATGATGAGATGGAGAGGTAGTTAGATAAATAAGTAAAAGTTGTGAGATCTCACTAGAGTGGTGAATATTAATGTAAGTTCAATAAAAGAGAATAATATCCTAGTCCATTTGCAAAGTTTCTTGAGATTTGAAATATTTGTGTGCAATACACTATAATTGAGACTCTTCAACATAATGGTGTTGCTGAGAGGATAAACCATACTTAAAGAATATGGTTAGAGGTAGGTTGAGTAATTCAACATTAACGTTTTCTATGTGGATGCATGTATTAAAGATTACTGCATATTGGATAAACAGAGTTCCTAGTAAGGCAGTTCCTAAGACACCTTATGAACTGTGGACGGGTAGGAAACCTAGTTTGAGGCACCTTCATATTTGGGGGTGTCAAGCAGAAATAAAAGTATATAATCCACATGAAAAGAAACTTATTCCTATGACAGTCAGTGGTTATTCATTGGCTATCCCAAAAGTTTTAAAGGATATAAGTTTTACATGCCTAATCATAGTACGAGAATAGTTGATTCCAGCAATGCTCGATTCATTAAAAATGATCAAATTAGTGGGAGTTTGGAACTGCAAAGTTTGGATGTCAAAGAAACTCAGGTTGAACAGTCCAAACCCGAGAGTCCATCAATAGTTGGAGTTGGGTGTAAATGGGTTTTTCAAAAACCAAACACGACTCTAAAGGTAATATCGAAAGATATAAAGTTAGACTTAGGTTACACCCAAAAGGAAGGCATTGACTACAAGGAAACACTTCTCTCGTTTCGAGAAAGATTACTTGAGAATTGTAATGGTAATGGTGGCTCTGTATACTTTTGAGCTTTATCAAATGGACATAAAGATCACCTTTTAAATGATAAACTTAAAAGGAGATCTACATGAACTAATTAAAATTTTTTTAGATCACAAGAAATGAAACATTAGTGTGTAAGTTGAATAGATCGATATATGGACTAAAATAAGTCTCTCGTCAATGGTATCTTAAGTTTAATGATACCATCACTGCTTATGGTTTTGTAAAAGAATATCGTAGATCGGTGTATCTACATTAAGGTCAGTGGGAGTAGATTTGTTATTTAGTTTCGTATGTCAATGACATATTATAGTTGCTAATAATATGGACATGTTGCACGAAGTAAAGTATTATCTCTCTAAAAAAGTTATGAAATAAAGGATGTGGATGAAACGTCCTTGCTAAGTGGAATAGAAATATTCTGGAATAGATCACAAGGACTAAAAGTTTATCCCATAAAAGTTTTATTTGAGAGATAATGGATGGTTGTTCCGTATAATTCCAATTCATAAAAGTGACACATTTAATCTAAAATAAATGTTCGAAAGGTGAAATGGAATGAAAAGTGATGGAGAAATTCCTTAGATATAAATGATTAGGAGTCTTAAGCGAGACGAACCTGTACTAGGTTTGATAACATATTTGTTGATGGTACATTAAACAAATATATAGAAGTAATCCCTAAGGGGGTGATTGTTTATGCATTGTACAGTAAAAAAACTAATTCAAACTCAAATTTAACATAACTTTAACTCAACTCCATCATTTTCAATATTATTAATATAATAAAATAATATCAACCAATCATTTTTATACATCACATCAACTTTAATTTAGTATTCATCCACTCACATAATTTTAACTAACTATCACTTCCAATCATTTTCTCTTACTTTTACATCAAATCAACTTTAATTATTTTATTTTAAATACTATTTTAATATATCCACTAACAACTAACCATACCACTTTTTTCTCAAACTTAACTATAGTTAAAAAAAAATTAGATTTTTACTAGTTGAATTCATATCCAATCACCCTCTAAATGATTATTTAAATGCTGCAAAGAAAATTTTAAAGTATTTACAAGGCATTAAAGAACACATGCTAATTTAAAGAAGATCCAAATTATTTGTTATAATTGGATACTTGGATTCGGACTTTTGCTCATAATGTCTAAAGGAGCAAGATTATGGAAAAGTGGAACAAAGTCCATCATCGTGACTTCCACGATTAAGTTTGAGTTTGTGGTATGCTTTGAGGCCACAAGTCAAAATTTAGGGCTACGATGCTTTATCTTAGGACTTGGAAATGTCGACATCTTGTCCAAGCCGCTAAGAAATTAACGTGGTTTTGTAGTAATAATATTTCAAGGAATGACAAGTATTCAAAGGGTGTGAATCACATAAAATTGAAATACTTGGTCGTAAAATATAAGTGAAGAAACAAAGTGTGTCATTCGAGCATTTTAGTGTGTAATTGCATGAAAGCGGATCCATTTAAAGGTTATTCCCTATAGCCGTTGCAAGGCATATAAAGAAAATTGGGAATAACGAATGGGGCCTTGTTGGACTGACCGATACTGAATGAAATTGCTCAATTATTGATTTTGGCACTTATTGAATTCAATTAAAGATGTTTGATTCTTCACACTCAATACCATCATTGTGGATATTTGATTTTATAGTATATACATAAATGTTGGATGGCTTATGGTTATGGTACGAATAGTTTGTTCCATATTAAAGTAAAGTTGAATTAGAAATGATTTGTGGTACATGAAAGGGATCATGTCGCTCAAAGACTTGTGACCGCCATGAATCGGTTAATTTCTAGTTTGATTTTAAACTTATTGATATATGTATTCAATCATAAGTTTGATGAAATGTGCGCATTTGAAGTAGTTCTTTGGGTTTCGACACAATATGGTCCAAGTGGGAGAATGTAATAATATTTGTATATTATTCTATTATTGTGGACCATATAATTAGTTGGACCTAATTGAATTAATAGTCAAACTTTATTAAAGGTGACTATGTATTTAATGAATTATTTAATGTTCTAATATTAAAGAGTCCAATTTGTGATGTTTGACTTGGACAGTAAGTTAGGTTAGAACATGGGGAATGTTAGTAGGAATAGGTTTGTAGGTCTCCTCCTATATATACTACATGCCCCTCTCTCCCATCTCATACGAAAATAGAGTTCTCAACATCAAGGGCTTTATGAAAAGACGAGAGACACGAGAGAGAGAAACAATTCAAATAGGCGAATCCATCATTGGAGATTATGAGAAAGATAGATCCATGAGATTACGAGGAGGAAGAGGTCGCAGATCAACATCATAGATCAAGAAAATAGGAAGGACTTATGAAGTCTTGTAAGTTTTTCATGTGCAATTTAATTTACGCAAAAGATCCATATTCTATGAACTGATAGAATTACATGCTTAGGGTTTATTCAATTCCGCCTGATAGTTATGACTATGCCCATTAAATTTCTTACAGGGATCTCTCCGTGGAACCACACGCCAGACCCGTGGCCGGTGCTCAATTTACTACGGGATACCGCCTTCGGGCGAGATGTTGTGGTCGTACCTTGAGACATACAGTGACGGCGGCGAAGATATGGTGGGAGATGGTGGAGGTCGGCAATGGCGAGTTTTGTGGTCGACCGCCGGCGGGTCTGTGGTGGCGGCGGAGTTGGTTGAGGGATGGCAGCGGCGGCGAACTTTGACGTAATCGACGGGGTTGTTGGCGGTTGGTGGCGGTAGGCGGAGGAAGGCAGTTGGTGGAGGTGGCGGCGGCCGTCGATCGCCGGCGAGGGTCATGGTGGTGTGTTTATGTCTGTCTGCAGGTGTGTGTGTGTAGTGTAATGTATGTGTGCGTGCGTGGAGAAGATGATGAGGGTGGTGGAGGGGGTAGGTGGGGGTAGAATAATTATAGTGAGATTAAATGTTGGTATAGGTGGGTCCCACAGATTTTTAAGTTTGAATTAAATTGTCTAAACTATCCTTAATTATTGGTTAAATGCATATATTTGACCATCATGTGATCAAATAATTACCAGACTGTCATTAATGAATGACCATTGTTTGACTTCATCATAACCATTGATACGATTGATCCCATGGTTCATATTTGTTCATATATNACACACACACACACACACACACACATAGAGACGCACGCACAGTCGCACACATATACACCAGCACCACCTCCGACGACCAGCCATCAGATCTGCCCAGCTCCGTCAGCCGCTTCCATTTTCCCAGATAGCAGCCGCACAAGCTCTGCCGGACCGTACCACTTCCTTCAAGGAGGCCGGAACACCGTCCGGTGTTGCTAAACCATAACCGACCGTCGCACAGGTCTGCCGCCGCCAGTATTTCTCATCAGCCGCGCCAGTCCTGCCCATCATCATCCCGGCCCGCTCGAGCAGAGGTGGCGTTGCGTGGTGGAGTCTCACCAGGAGCTCGACGACCATCTCGTCGTCTGACATGGCGGGGTGACCACTCTTCGTCGGTGCCACTCATTGCCGCCGTCCAAATCTCGCCGCTGCTACAGTCATCTTCTTCCTCGGTCGCCACGTCAAATTCCGATGCTGCTCACTCCTGCTGCCGCCGCCATCCAAATCTCATGTCCGGCGAGGCGGCTATCTCCACCCTCCCCGCCGCCGTCGCCGCCCCTCCCGCAGTCGTATCCACCATCCCGACGCCGGCGCCGTCAGCCTAGGACAGAGAATTGAAACAAAGTGCACATGAATTAAGGATTTGGAAATTGTAGGGATATGACTAATTTTTGTAAATTAGATATAATCAATGGATTTAATTGTAAATTAAAAAATTTGAAATATATTGCAATTTAGAGTTAAATTGGTAAATCTGTAAATGCACCTCATCGCATTCGGATTTGAACATTAAAAATATCATTAGACAGAATGCACCATATTGCTATACAAGTTGTGCTTTAGTGCATTTTTCACTTTATCAACATTAAAAATATCATTATACAGAATGCACCATATTATTATACAAGTTGCACTTTAGTGCATGTGGTATTGCACTTTATCCTAAAACAGTGCATTTGCGATAACAATATGTATTATCAAAATGGACAATAGTTTTTTGGCGGAATGCACATTAATTTATTGGATTATGCACATCAACATAACAGTACGGTTACCACAAATATTAAAATCTAGGTTAGTTCGGTTTGATTTTGAATTTATTTAAAAAATTAAATAACATAATCGATCGAACGACAAAATGCACGTTAGTTTGAAAAAATGCACACGATAATATTACAAAATAAATAAATGAATAAATAATATAACCGACTAAATTTTATGGGTATTAATTATTTTCAATTAAAAATAATGTAAGATAATAAATAAAATTTTCAAATACTATATATTTTTATTATATAAATAATTTGATTAATGTATAGTAATGTTAATTAAAATACACATCATTTAATGGTTCCCAAAATTGAAATGCACGTAATAAAAAAAAAAAAAATACACGCTCGATAAACTGCACAAATTTTATACTAAATCGGTTAATCAATAAAATAAACCAATTATTTTGGGCTTAGTTTGGATTAGAATAAATAATTAAAACATAACTGCAAATCGAGTGCACGTTTATAGTAGAATGATTGCACATTAGCGACTGACGGATTGCACTATATTGATCAAAATATATAAACACATGTTCAAGCTTCACATGAATTTCAAAATGCATGTGTACACACAATATTGTGCAATTTATTTATTAGTGTTGTGTAATTATTAATATTTTAATAATTTCACATAAATATATAATAGTATTTTAATGGGCATATGTACCACCATAATGTGCAATTCATTCATCAATATGATGCACTTATTAAAGTTTTAAAAAATTATAAATTTAACCCATGTGCTTAATTGAAATATATTTAACTTTTTAAATTTGCATAAAAGTCCTCAAGAATTCTCCAAAATAAGTCCCTCAACCACTAAAAAAAAACACACTTCCAGTGCCGTTCCAGCCACCGTTGCCGCCGCACAGGGACTGCCGTCGCCACCGAAGCATCTCCGCACCACGGTCGCCGCTGGAGATTCCTGCTAGACCGCAGTCACCGTCCTCTGAGAGCCATAAAAATAATCAATATTTTCCGGCGACCTCTAACGCACACGTCTGAGAGCCGCCTCTACGTCGACCGGATGACCTCTGTGAGTCCTGATTACACGCACAGGGCACTTCAAATGTTCAATCGCAGAAAGAAGACCCCGATTCACAGGCCATTTCGGCAAAAAATCAGTGGAGACGGCGAGTGATAGGCGAAGCGACGGAGGAGATGGACACCACGGTTGATTTGGTGGACGGCGAAGCTGTGGCTGAGTTCGGAGGAGGGTGCGCGATTGGTGGACGGTGGCGGCGGGATGGTGGACATCCGACGGCGGGATTGAAATACGACTGACGGAGGGGTTAGGGGAGAACGGCGGCAGATGATAATTTAACGGCGGCCAGCGGCCAGATGAAGAAGGTGACTGTGAGCTCTCCGGCCGGCGCGTCGTGAGTTTTGTTGATGTTGGTAGGGATGAGAGATAATTGGTGGTTGTAATGGGACCCACCAAGTGGGTGGGTGTCCAATTACAGATCTGCCCTTAGTGGTACATATTTGATCGTAAGATTCTATTTAATTACATTTTTGCCACCATGATTTTGACAATCTTATTCAATTTTGACTGTATCTTGACCACTGATATTATGAATCCAATGGTGTAAGATCATTCTTATTTCTTTCACCATCTACCATTCTCATATGATCATAACTCTCTCTCTCTCTCTCTATATATATATATATATAGTCGCGCTCCGGTGAGAATGGTGCTTAGTGAAAATAAATAAGAATAAATCTTAGGCATTGGATCGGATGATCCAACAGCTAAAAGAATCCCAAATTTTAAACACATGAAGGATAATGTGGTACTTACTATCCAGTTAACATGTGGGCCCTACCCAATACAAATTCATATTACCCAATTTCCCAAACCACCAGGCACTCTCTCTCACCCGTCAGTTCATCATGCTATCTCTCACACAATTACACACACTACTACACTAGCACGACATACACACAAAGAACAGTCGCCGACTAGTTTCCGACCGCCGCCGTTGTCCAATAGTACAACCTTCGTCTGCCGCCGCCATCAAGACCTATGTCACCAATGTCGCCGGAAAACTGTCTGCCCGACTATATTCCCGTGCGCCTGACAACATATCATTATCCCTCCGGCTAGCCACCCTACAGTGCCGAGCCGCATCACCGACACACAGCTCCATCCCTGGTCATCCAAAACGGCACCGATGATCCACTCGCCGCCGTCCGATCCTCATTTGGTCTCATGGATGTCACCGGCGGCTGCCCGCTAGTTCTCCTTTCTCGGCAAGGCCTGGTCGACGTGGAGCTGCGGTTATGGATTGAAGATCGCTGAATAACAAGATACGCACCGGCCACCATATCCGTCCTCCCTGCCGCGCCGGTCCTTCCGCCGTCATCCGTCGAGATCCGGATGACATCGATGACCGAAAAGTGAATAAACCTACTCTGCAATCCAGAAATCAGCAGGTGTACATAAAATCAAAAAGTAGAGTTGGGGTAATTTTTATGTAAATTAAATAATTTAAAAGGGCTGGCAATATGTAAAATTTCAACTACACACATGTATTAAATATTACAATTCAATAGATGTGGTGGGTTGGTGGGGTGAGGATTTCAATTTCAACACGTAAATATCGCAAATACTTAGGTGTGCAAGGTGTGCCAGGGCATGTGTGAAATGCACTGTCTCTTAAAATCGCGTGAGGTAAGGTAATAAGGTATGCAATTTTTCTTTTTTTTTTTTGTTTAAAAAAGACAAGTGTCCAATACATATTGGATAATAAATTTTACATATCATATTATATAAATTAAATTATTATTCACATTTTATATTAAAAAATAAAAATAAAAATACCAAAATTCATAATTTTTCAATCTCTACAAATAGAGACCACATTTGATAAGTTTTGAAATACAATTAATTTATTAATTTTTATAATTAAATTATCTTTTTGGAAGGTGATGACACAAATATATAATAAGATGAACATGTTACATACTAAGATGCGCATGTTATATAGTAAAATGAACATGTTATAGAATAAGATGAAAATGTTATAATTTTACAGATGGAATTTAGATGAACATTTTATACAATAAGATGAACATGTTACATAATAAGATGAACATGTTATAGAATAAGATGAACATGTTACATATTTACACAATAAGATGAACATATGAACATGTTATAAAATAAGATAAACATATGAACATGTTATATAGTAAGATGAACATATGAACATTGGAACACAATTAATTTATCATTTTTTACAATTAATTTATCTTATTGGAAGATTATGACGCAAATATATAATTAGATAAATATGTTACATAGTAAGATTAACATGTTATAGAGTAAGATGAACATGTCATAGAATAAGATGAAAATGTTACATTTTTCAGAGATGAAATTTAGATGAACATGTTACATAATAAAATGAACATGTAATAAAATAAGATGAACATGTTTTGATTCCATATCTACATCACGGGCTCTCACATTATTTTCTCCAATTTCCACTTCATATAATAAATTCTAGTCAATTTCTTGCTCGACTTTCACTCGTTTAATGCAAGAATCTCCGCCCTGAAATAATAAACCATAATCTACAGATAAGAACTCAAATTTATGCAATAGTCATACTATAGGGAATGAAAGTGAAAAACTGGTAGAATGTAAAAGAAATTCCATAAATTAGTCTTTCGATCGAATATCCTCCACCGTCACAAACCAAAATCCTCTCTAATAAGATGAAAATGTTATATTTTTCACATATGTAATTTAGATGAACATGTTATAAAATAAGATGAACATGTTACATAATAAAATGAACATGTTATAGGATAAGATGAACATGTTACATAATAAAATAAACATGTTATAGAATAAGATGGACATGTTTAGATTCCATATCTACATCACGGGCTCTCACATTATTTTCTCCAATTTCCACTTCATACACAAAATTCTGGTCAATTTCTTGCTCGACTTTCACTCGTTTAATGCAAGCACCCACGCCCTGAAATAATAAACCATAATCTACATATAAGAACTCAAATTTATGCAATAGTCATACTATAGGGAATGAAAGTGAAAAACTAGTAGAATGTAAAAGAAATTTCATAAATTAGTCTTTCGATCGAATATCCTCCACCTTCACAAACCAAAATCCTCTCTAATAAGATGAAAATGTTACATTTTCACAGATGAAAATTAGATGAACATGTTATAGAATAAAATGAACATGTTATAGAATAAGATGAACATGTTACATAATAAAATGAACATGTTATAGAATAAAATGAACATGTTACATACACAATAAGGTGAACATGTTACCAAAAAACAAAAATTATTTGTGTTCAAAAACCTATCAAATGCGGTCTCTATTTATAGATAATGAAAAATTATGAATTTTGGTATTTTTATTTTATTTTTTTAATATAAATAATTAATGATATTTTAATTTATGTAATATGTCTCATTTTTTCATTAAAAAAGTAAAATTGGGAGAGTGCACTACACCTTCTAAATTTTCTAGCTTTTTGAGAGTGAGGGGCACGTGTAATACTGCCCTGGCACACCTAGCTAGGTGTGCTAGGGCACACGGTAGTGGTACTGCGTAAATATGAATGGATGTGGTGGGTTGGTGGGTTTCAAGACTTAAATATAGCTTATATAGGAATTTAATTTAAAATATCAGATGTAATGTTATTTATATATTATAGTTGTATATATATTATTTATTTTGATAAGCAATAAAATAAAATATTTATTAAAAATTATAAATATAATTATATTTTATAATCACAGAATAATATTAATTGAAATAAATATTATTAAAGTTTTTTAAAATTGAAACACACATTAGTTTTGGGCTTCAATTGGGTTGGGAGAAAAGTTCGGTCCATTCACACTCCTCATTAGCGGCGAAAACCGTGCACATTAGTGTTTGACAAATTGCACATTAATGATTGACATGTTGCACTTTTGGGCCATGAGATTGCACTTTATCATAATAAATGTACAAATCGAAATATATTTTTTCAGTTCGAGACCTTAATATGTCGGCCCGATTATTTAACGTAACAAATGTAGTGATTGTCCGGATGCACAAGATCGGCCGAACTCAACAAAACTAAAATCTTCAACTCGAGATTTTTATATGTCGCTCCGATTATTTGTTTAATTTTAAATTTAGTTAAATTTGAGTTGTTAAAAGTAAAAAGAGAAAAAAAAATGATAATAATAATAATAATAATAAAATAAGAATAATAATAATAATAATAATAATAATAATAATAATAATAATAATAATAATAATAGTAATAATAATAATAATAATAATTGAACCAAAATACAAAATTTTGAACTGAAAAATTTAGTTCGGGTGATTTCGTTTGATATTTTGCAGTCATTTAGTCATTAATTTGCAATACATATAACCATAATGCGCACTCACAATGCATAAAAGTATATAAATAATGATAATAATAATTTTCACATAGTTCGGTTATTTCAGTTATTTTAGAAAATAAAGGTGACTTCAAAACGTAAATAAGTGAGTTTTTAAAAGTAGAAAAATAATAAAAATAACAATTGAACATAAATATAAAAATTTGAAGCGAAAAAATTAGTTTTAGTTGATTTTTTGATATTGTACAATCATATATCATTAGTGAGCAATCCATATAATCATAATGTGCACTTGCAATACATAAAATTATATTGTCAGAAATGTCAGGGGTGTCAGAGGTGGTTATTGCCACTATTACTCTGCACCAATATATTATCGCCACGTGTCTCCCTCTGAGCTAAGGGGAATTATTCCTTTGCGCAGGCCGTTGGGATCTCCTGACATCACCCACGCGCCTACTCGCGTCCAGGTCACGCTCTCGACTGCCTCCTTCCTGCTGCGTGCTCGATATAATCGAGCTCCCCCTCGCTAGGTCGATCCTCGACCAACTCTGCCATTCTGCTCGATCTCTTCCGCTTTGGTCGATCATCCTTTAACCCACGCGGTTTTCTCCCGACTTATGCCTGCTTGACCGACGTGATGGACCGGTCTACTCTTTACTCAGATAATATCCCATATCATAATAATTTTCACATAGTTCGGTTATTTCAGTTATTTTAGAAAATAAAGGTGACTTCAAAACGTAAATAAGTGAGTTTTTTAAAAGTAGAAAAATAATAAAAATAACAATTGAACATAAATATAAAAATTTGAAGCGAAAAAATTAGTTTTAGTTGGTTTTTTGATATTGTACAATCATATATCATTAGTGAGCAATCCATATAATCATAATGTGCACTTGCAATACATAAAATTATATAAATCATACTAATAATATTTTTCGTATAGCTTTGTTATTTCAATTTTGATTAAAATAATCGAAATATATATATATATATATTTTTATTTAAATTATCGAAATGACTTCCAGTTGAAATAATTGAAGTCAAAATAACTAAATTTTAAAAATAACCGAAATATATAATTTCGAACAGAAATATTATACTTATTTCAATTTTGATAGTTAAAGTGCGGTCTGTCACACGTTAATGTGCAATATGTCTAACACTAATGTGCAGTGTTTCAGCCGCTATTGTGCGTCTGTATAATCAGGCACTTGCCCATCCAAATTAAAATTGGTCTAAAATACACGGTTTATTCGGTTGATTAACCAAACTACCATAAGTATTATAAATTTTTTTTTGGTAGTTTAAAATCTTATTTAATGTTTGAATTATTTTATTTGGATTTTTGCATTAGTTTTTATTGTAATTACATAATATATGAAATACCAAAATTAACAATGTGCAGTTCCATAGTCAATAATGTGCATCTAGTCTAGTATTATTGTGCAATCAATTGAGTGAGTATTTTTAATGTGCGTTTCAATTTTTTAGAGAACTTTAATAATGCATTATTATTATTATTATTATTATTATGAAATTTAGTCAATTGAGTGCAATCAATTGAGTCGATTATTATTATTATTATTATTATTATTATTATTATTATTATTATTATTATTATTATTATTATTATTATTANAGTATTTAATCAATATGAAATTTAGTATATTTTTTATAAATTATAAATTTGACCCATGGATTAGATTGAAATTTAATAAAATTTCAAATATGTCCCTTAAAGATGTCAAATTCTCAACTAAATGCCCATCCATTCGCAGGCAGCTGTCCGCCGCCTGACTTCCCCGTCGACCGGTCGAACGTCGTCCGCCGCGAGGTCGCCGTCGTCTAACGCGTCTCGCCCACCTGGAGTTCCCGTCATGCTGCTCCCCGTCGCCGCCAGTACTGCC